GAGTTCTCGGTCATGAGCGCCCCGCTGTGGCCTTGGATTGCGCGGCATCGCAAAATCCTCCCTCCCGGGTGGATGAGAAACTCGAAGCGTTCCTTCTCAGACGACTCGCACACCTGGAAGATCTGCTCCATACGGAGCCCGTTCCAAATCTGCCCCAACGCCTCGAAGAATGCCGGGAAAGATGTCGTTCCATTCCCATCGAATTCAAGATGGGGTGCGTGGGCGCACTTTTTGGAGAAGCCACGGAGCAGCCACGTCATCTTTCGGCTCAACGTCTCGAGGGCATTGGGAGAGAGGTAGCGCCTGATCTGAATGACCGGCATCTCGCTACCGACGCACCAGTATGCTGCTGACTCGTCGATGGTAGGACCATCCCTTCCGGGAGGTGCACGCGCAGGCATTGCCTTGGGCGGCGCAGCTCGGGAAGGAGCAGGCAAGACCTTGTTCCCCAGGTCGGTGACGTCTTCGCTGAGATCGATGAGGGTCTTATCCTGGCGAACCCTCTCTCTCGTCTGCTGCAAGATCTCTTCCACGGAGGTATCCGGCTCGTTGATGGGGAGGAGCGGTTCACACGCAATGTCCGGATCGTCAGGATCATTGGTGACAATGGTGTCAATGCCGCGCTCCTTCTCAATCTCGACGGCCTGCTCATCATCGAGCTGGCCTTCAACCGAGTCGAGGGCCTCCAACAACCTCCTCACACGAGGGTTGTTCGCGTCGAAGAGGATCACCTCGTCGTCATCGCCGCCAGACCCGTCAGGGTTGAGGTAAGCCCGGTCATCCTCAGTGATCGGGACTGCATCCACCTCCGGGCGGTTTTCGTCCGATGGAGTCGGTGCCTTCCGGACGACGTTCTGGGCGACAATGATCTCCTCGCTTTGATCTCTCGACGTAGGCGCCAGCCACGCGAAATCATCAATCTTGGGCCTCACCATGTCAGTGCACGGGGGGACCGTAAGGGATAACTCCAAGGAAGTCCTCCCGCATCATGAAGATTTGCCGACCCGTCAGGGTGGTGGAGATGAGCGCTCGCCACCACTCCGTGGTAGCTTGGAAGTTGTCCTGCGAGGCCACCATGTGGTACTTGTCGTAACGGACCGTGCCGTAGAGATGGGCGAAAGGATCGATGACCTTCACGCCGTTCGACGCCAGGTAGTCGGTGTGCTTCTTCATCTCCCTGTCGTACTCCCAATCCAGCCCGTAGGCCTGGGCGACAGTGCCAGCGACAACGGTCAGTGACCTGACACAATGATGTCCAGCCAACGCAACAACCTTCCGGAGTGCGGATTCCACCTTGGCCAACTGCTTGACGGGCCAGTGCTCCGCTTTGCGGACTTGCTCTTCTGTTTGCTTGATCCAGGGCGACACAAGGTGCCACGTGTAGCCCTGATACCCGTATGGGCCGTGGACGTCGTTCCCCGCCCAACTAATGAAAATATCCAACCCGTCAGGGTGGTGGATCCTCAGGTAGTCCTCGACGATTTGCGTGAGGAGCGTGAGGTCCTTGCCCCATTCCATCATCACGTTGACTTCCGTCACGCGAGGGTCATGCGACAGAGCATCCCGAAGTGGACCTTGGAATGTCATCTTGTTGATGGCACGACCGCCCTTGTGCGTGCACAAGGCTAGTGAGGAGTCGCCGATGATGAGCACTTGGGACTTGATCATTGGCGGTGGCGGAATGCGCTCGAAAGCCGGGGTGTAGAAACCCCCCAGGAGCTGTACTACGTCCGTGTGCAGAGGTCGGTCAGACAGACCGTGCTCCATCTCGGTGACACGGTAGCACAAGTCGTAGGGCTTCGAGACGTCGAACGCACTCTGGGCCCTTGGCCCCCACCCTACGACAGCCATGTCGAAGATGAGGTCGAGCATGGTTTGCGTCCATCCCGCCAGGGAGGAGTCATGCACCGTTTTGGACGGCACGTCGTCAGTGCTGTAGGCCCTGACGCCGTAGATCCGGTACCACATCTCGTAGATTGTGGTCCACGGCACATTGGGATACCCCTTCCGGAGATCGAGCCACTGTTGCACAGGGATGACACGAAGAAACAAGTCATCGGGACTGTCAGCCTCCGTGGGCTCCCGGAAATTGCGCACTGCATCATTCCACCACGCTGGTGATGAAAGTCCTGCCAAGGCGTCAGCCAGGCGATCCGCATCAGTAGCGGCGGCCGACATTTCCTGGAGACGTGCGGTACGCTCCTCTGCACTGAGAATCTCAACTGCACGAGATGCCATTCCTTCAGAAAGACAAGGAGGAGATTCGAGGCGAGGATTGCTGGGGAGCTTGATTGCTGGAGCGGCTACGTATGTGCAAGGAGTCCTGCTCATGTTTTCCTGGAACGCCTTGTGAATTAAATCAACCATGCGCAAGCAGTACTCTTCAGAGCTGCGACTACACTTGCCATGCACGTGCCCTCCTGTGCAACACTTGTCACGGAATGCAACATACAAGGAATCCAAGGTAGTAGCAATAGTCCACGGTTTCTTAACGGCTTCACCCTTTTCGTTGCGAAGACCGAAACGACAACCGTCGAAGTGGGCCTTCCGAATGGGTTTACCCTCGATCCATTTGACTATCCGAGTCCATTTCCAATACTCGCAGTCCTTTGGCCATTCAATGGCATAGTCGACCAGAAGTCGATCGAGGCCATGGGACAGGTCGACGAATGATGCCCAAAGCTTGGTGAATTTCCTCCGGGCCTCGAAGACGGCGCTTCGGTTCTTGTCGACGGCAAGATTAAGGCGAGCCCATTGCGACCCCCCCGTACAAGGAAGACTAGCCCAAACGAGGATGCGAAGACCGTCCTTGTGGGCCTCCTTTGCGATGGACAAAACTTCCCGTCGAGTTTTGGGATCGTTCAGGTTCATAGACTCAGTGATGCGAACGACCTTGCAGTCCTTATATTTGTTACTAGCAAGATTACCAATTAGTGAATCGTCACCGCAACACACTTCAATGATCAACCGCTTGTGCAAAGGAGGAGACCTCTGCGTCAGCAGGGTGGATCCAGGAGTGGTGGCGGCTGCGCCAGATTTCCTCACGTCAAGCTTGAGGGGAGATATGGCCATAAGTGCAAGAGCACGCGACCACTTCTCAGCATTGGTGAATGGCTTAGTGAGGATATCGGCTGCTTGCAACAAAGTACTGATGTACGCAATGTCATAGTGCTTTCTTCTGAACTGTTCAGAAATCCATCCCAAGTTAATCCTCTGCGTTTTGTCGGCGTGACGAAAGGCTGGTGACTTACCTGACTCAAGGATCCTGATTGTAGCTTGGTTGTCCTCAAGCACGACAGGTTGAATGGAGTGAGGAACCGTAACCACAAGTCCTATATCCTTATCTGAACCCTTGGGCGCAAGCTCTTCCGAGGACCGACCCCCCGTATTCCTGATGCCTTCAATCTCGCGGTGCATGAAAGCCTCCGCGTCAGCGTGGCGTCTGTAGTCCATGGTGGACCTGCGATAGACTATTACACACGCTTCGGCTTTAGGATCAACGGGTCTATCCCTTCTCTTAAGTTCTTCCCAGGCAACAGCTTCCTCAACTTGAACCCAAGTACCCTTTAACCTGACCCAAACGTCTCGCAGTGGATGAGTGTTCATCTCAACTGGTTCAGGCAGGGATGAAAGGTTGGTGAGCAGTTCGACCACTCTACCATCAATGAGGTGCGAAGTGCCCAGGTAAGTAACTCCTTGGATAAGGGAATCCGGGTGGTTAGAGAGGAGTTTATTGGGAGCATCACCCTTCCGGGGAGTGTGCTTAGGTTTTGTGCTGCTATCCCCCCCCGCATTCTGAAGCACGCTCCAAAGCGCGGAAGAAGGAAGACCTAATGCACGCAACGAAACATTTGCACACACAACCTCGGCCTCAGTGGAACTAAGGGCAATACTGGTCTGCTTCTTACTGAAAGCCGCAAGGGGGAAGTACGTATTAGGACCAACCAAAGCAAGGAAGCCTCCTGAGGTGCTTTTGCTGTCATGCTCACCGGCATGGTCACTGTCGGCAAACAGCCACAGCTTGCAAGTGCTAATGTCATCACCTATGAATCCGCGCATGCGGTACTCCAATGTAGACGCGACGTAGCACATCAAGCGATGCAAGGCTATATCGCATTCAACAGACCATTTGGTGACGCGACTGGCCAATCCCTGAACTGCGCGCAGCAGATCGTACCTTGCCATCCTTGCTGCGAACAACAGCTTCATGAGAATGCGGCTTGCTATGGGAGCAAGCTGTCCGCGAGGTTCGGCCTCGGTGCCAACCGGGCGAGCGATCTTGTCGTCATGGAAGGGCGTAGCAACCTTTCGCAGGTGTTGGAATTGTGGGCCTGCGAGCTTCTTGTACTTATCAATGGCTTGCTGCAAAAAGGAACTCATGTCATACACAACTTCCTTAACACCCTTAGTCATGCAACCCTTGTTGTCGCTCAGTTGATTGACATCGAAGAATGCTTTCTTCCTCGCTTCTTTCTTAGCTTCGTTCTTGTCCCTGATCTTCTTAACTGCAGCAAGAGCTGACGCATGATCGTGCTTATCCGAAAGAAGATAAGTGGCACCAACCCACAACTTAGACCTCTTACCCCGACCGGAAGGATGATCCCATGATTGCTCGATAAGCTCATCATCATCAATGGACCTCACTTGCGTGAGTCGGTGTTGGCCAACGGCACAAAGCTTGGCTTCAGATGCCGGCAGGGCATAGAGTGCACGCCTGGGCTGCGCATGGTGACGCACCAAGACACCTTCTTCGGGATGGAATTCGGTGTAGTCCTCACGCACGACTGCAGCGGCAGTCTCCTTGGCAGCGGGATCACGAACGTTCTTGTCAAAGACGTGAGCAAAAGGATGATCAGAATGCTTAAGGTTTGTGCTCTTAGAGATGTGCTCGCAACCCAAGTAACGACCTATGGGAGAGGGAGAGTCCATGTCAATTTTCGAACTGATCAGCTCCCACCCTTTCTGCATGTTGGCTTTAGGTCCGGCCATCTTAAAGTCATCTACATAGACTGCGAGTAGAAGGCGAAGCTGGGGGTGGAAGAAAACTGCCGGGAACACAAGCTGAAGCCCGACCTCGCCTAGCATCTTTTCACAGTGTAACTCCCAGAAACCCCCGCTATCGGGATGACCGTAGAGTGCCAGCGTCAGCCGCACGACAGGATCTTTGTACTTTCCCTTCCACTCTGAAGGCCATCGGTCAGGCGGAAGCCTAACCCATGTTTCCTTTCCCTTGAGCGTGGTTTGGGTGTGTGCTTGTTTGCCGTCGGCCTGCTGACAGTCGTTGCCCGGTGCGTGCCCATAGGCGTCAAGCGCTTTCCCAGCCTCCATCGTGGCGGGACTGGATCCGAGCTCACTGAAAAGAGCCTGATCACTATTCTCATCTTTGACGTTGTTCCCTTGGAACACGGTTCGACCCTTAAATTTCCGTTGTGGGTCACCTTTGGGAAGCTCACTTCCTTTTTCTACGCAGATCTCAAAAACTTTTCCAACATGAACCTTTTTCCCCTTTTTGATGGCTTCGTCACTGACATCTTTCCATTCCCGAACAGATCCCATGTCCCAGGCTTTCTTAACCATTAATTTGTTCCATTCAACATCAAGGGCAGCCTGGGCCTTCGGGTCCTCGAGGATTTCTCTGCGACCAACAGGCCTTGCGACAAGAGCAAAAAGCTCTCGTACCTCGTCCTCTGAGACGGGAAGGTTGCTGGAAATCTTTTCGCGATGCTCGGGTTCATGAGGTACAGTAGGCATGGCAGGGAATGCGTCCTTACCATCTCCGTCAGGAGCGGGACTGTGGATTCTGTCCAAAATGAACTCAGTCTTGCCGATCCACTTGAAACTAGTCTTTTTGTTCCGCTTCCTAACGTTCTTCCAATCATCGTCCTCATGGATGACGTCAACACCACCTACGGGAATGATAGTTGTACTCCGTTGCTTAGAGATGCGCGATAGATCAACCGGACAATCGGTGATGTCCGGTGAGAACATTTCTCTTCTGGGAACGTAATGATAGCGTATTAGCTTACATTCGTTCAGTCGGACCTCCCAGTGGTCCTTGCTCGCAGCAGGTGCTGCGGCGGCAGCAGAGGAGCTACCGGCTGAACCCTCGGTAGGAGTCTCCATGTCACGCAATGCTTGTTCGCGTGCCTCATCAACAATGGCCTTCTCCTTCTGTTTCTTGGACATGTTGACCCAAAGGTATGAGGGAATGGATTCGGGCTTCTTAGAACCTCTGGTGCCTCCATACTTTCTACCAAGAGTACCCCCCGAATCATAGTACCGACCCCCTTCAGGAAGATCAATTTCTTTTCCCGTCTTAGGATCAAGTACCTTCTTGGGCGGCTCGACCTCTCGGTCTGCGGGTGCAGGCAGTTGCTCATCTGCAGCTTCAGCGTCCTGATTGGTGAGCGATTGACTGACAGGTCCTTCAGTGGCATCTGATGCGAGACCTGCTTGAACCCTTTCATACCTCTCACGCATGGGAAAAACGATCTTACCATCAGTGAGCTTGTGCTGCGATGCAATAACTGGCTTCAGGCACTCGTGGAAATCATGCTTGTTCAGCTGCTTGAGATGAATTGCAAAGACCTCCTTGCGCCATTTCATACCAGGCTGGAACTTGTATCCCATAAAGATCGCAGGCTCACTGGTAGGCTCGAATCTGTCTCTACCCTTGCGCTGGGCTTTCGGACCAACCCAAACGTCAATCCTACAACCGAAAGGAAGGGGTTCTTCAGGAAATGCAACACCAAAACGCTTGAACCAAGGGGTAAACTCTTTGCCCCCCGGATTGCTGATGTTGTAGGCAGTGCACGCATGCTCAAGGGCAAACGGCCAGTAAACATGCGAAATGCCAGCTTGAATGAGATTGGTGCGAGTGCCCTCGGTGGTGGCTCGCACAGCACGCTCAGCAACAGCGTTGGACTGATGGATATAAGCCTTAGAGAGCTCATGGCGCCAGCCGAGCGTTTTGGCCGCAGCCTCAAGTTCCCTAGACTTATCGCTGTAGAAAGTCTCCACATTGTCCTTCGCGGATGCGAAGTGCTGGAGCGCCACGAGGCATTCGTCTTCCGACTTCAATGCAGCAGGGTATGCATACATGAAACAAGTGGCAACATCCTTAACCACAAGTGCAAGACGTGAATCCTCAATGACAGTTTGCTTGTCCCTGTGCAAGATCAGATGATCTGCGGTCACGTGGTCGCCAAAGACCTCTGCTTCGATAGTACTGGTTTCCTTCTTATAGGAAGGAGGCTTGTACATCTTAGCTCGTTGGCATATTTGGCAGTAAGGGTTCTTGGGGACATGAGTCATAAGGTGTTCACGGGTTGTTGATTCTTTGATCAGAGCTTCTTTGCTCCGACTACGAGCTCTACGTTCAGGTGCTTCAGGATCGTCACTTGATGCTGCTTCCCCATCGGGGGCATCGGCCGCTGCCGGGGCAGGAGGACCGACGTCCGGTTCAGCACGCACCTCGTCAGAGGGCGGAGCATGGCGAGAACCATCTAGAATGGCTCGTACCCGCGCCGCTCCTTCGGACCTGAGGAGACCAGAGTCTCGAACACCATCCCTGGGCTCGGATTTTGCTTTTGGTTCAGGCTTAGGCTTAGCTTTAAGTTTTACTGTGGGCTTGGTGCGGTCCGGCAAAGGCCGAACAGGCATGTCTTCCTCCATCAGTTCCCTGAGAGTCCTTTCGTCAGGATCATCGGCGGATGCCGGCGCAATAGGAACCCTCTTGTGAGGAATAACAAACCCACAACCTCGAAGCTTCGCAACGTCCTGGTTATCAAGTTGGTAAACTGACCTACAGGTGTAGGCAGTAATGCTCCAACGTTCACCCTTCCAAGGCCTCACAGAATGGGATGTCTTCGGGTCAAAAACAACAATCTTGTTGTGACTATCATGGACCATCCCAGGGAGTTTGGTGCCTACAGAATCCTTGACCTCTAGATAATTTTTATCGGTTTTCATAGCGTTCGGGTCATGAATCCAAAGGCCACCATCGGAAAACTCTCCCACGGCAATCGTAACGTTGAGATGGTCTTTGTGATTGTTCACATCCTTATGGACCTTGATAGGCGAGTTCTGGTTGATGCAGAGTGATGAACAGCTCTCCAACTCCGCGCCTCTCTTGCGAAGAAATGCGATGAGATACTTGATAGTGTTAACATGGCGTCCAGTTCTCTTGGTTACACCATGAAACCCTCCATGTGCAAAAGCACCAAGTATCACGTACTTCTCTTTGCTACTGCCACGCTTCTCTCCTAGTGCTTTTCTTCTACTCCTACCTGCTCCGAAATTGACGGTGCGCAAGAGATCTACGCATGATCGCTCCGAGAAGTCGTGCTTCTCCAGAAGCTGCAAAGCAATCTCTTCAGAGCTGCGATCAGGCATTTCATCTCTGGCAACAGGCTGAATCTCATCGGACTTAGATTCACGCGCAGGGCAAGCAGTGCCCTCCTTCCACGATTTGAGGAAAGGCACGTTATCTCGGACATCAAGGAAAACTCTTTCACCCTCAGGAGTCTTCAAGTAAGGGCGAGTACAGGCTCTCCAAATGAAATCGAAACCTTGCTCCATGCAACGCTGTCCTATGGAGAGGACTGAAGGAGTGTCGGGCAGCACATAAGGCTTGGCAGAAATAGCAATCGACGGAACGTCGACATCACATTGCTTGTCAGCAGAGCTGGGACCGTTCGCGGTCATGATGTTGATCGGCTGTTCAGACTCATAAGCCTTCAAATGCTGGAGATCCCTCTCTGCGATTAGGTCTTGTGCACTCCCTGTGTCGCCAATCCATTCAAGGTTAAGCATCTTAGAGGACCCTTTAGTCTTAGCAGGGCACGACATTCTGAGACCCTTTGGGATACAGTGATTACATCCAATCTCCGAATCACACTCCCAGCGGCAGGCCGGAACGTCGTCCTTGGTAGAGATGGAAGCTTTCAGCATCTTCGCTGACATCTGGGCCTCTCGGATGGAGTCTGCTCTGGTTTCTGGAACAAAATCCAAAGGCTTTTCTCCTCGATGCTTACGGTTGGTGGGCGATACTGGAGTGAACCTCGCGTTGGGATCACTAACAGGAATGTTAATGTAATCGACTTCAGAGCTGAAATTTACCGCTGGTAGCGCCAGACTATAGGGATACGTGCAATTGGTGACCTGGTCCGTCCACTCCTTCCGGAGGGAGAAAGCATCGGCTTGGGTGGCCGAACCAGCAACAAGAGCACTAATGAGACATACAGCAGCAGGGATACCGCTTGAAGGCTTCTTTCTGCCTGAGCCCTTCGAGTTCTTGGAGCCTTGACTTCCCTTGGAATTCCTGCTACCCTTAGAACCCTTGGAGCTAGAGCGAGAAGACTTGCGATCTTTCTTCTTCTTGCGGTCCTTCTTCTTCCCTTTGCCTTTTGACCCCTTCCCACTGGTTTCGGAAGGCGCAGCTGCACCTGGCTTGCCTGTGTGGAGAAAATTGCAGTTCTCCCCCCGATCGCAACGTCCTTGCTTGTAGAACTTGCAGATCTTAGGCTTACCACCGGGGCTTGCAGAGCTTGCTCGTGAGCCAGCCGGCGTAGCGGAGCGGCCGCGTCCCTTGGCCGGAGTCTGGTGCTTGTACTTACATTGGTCACCTTTGGTACAGGAACCATTACGGACCCATGAAATGCAGAAACCTTTAGGAACCCTCTTAGGTGCAGGTGCGGTGGGCACAGCAGGACTGCCCGTCTGTCGAGCCATCCGTTCCCGGTTGCGTTCAAGGCGCTTCCTGTTGAGGTGCGCGTTCGCGGCATCATACGGGAAACTGTAGGACCGTTCTTTGGAACCTTCAAGAGCTCTTTCGTAGATGTTGATGTCATGCGAGAGAGCCTTGACCTTTTTGACCTGTCTATGGAATAGAGGTTCGAGGAATGATGCTTCAGGGGTTTTGGGAATCCCCGACAACACCGTGTCCCAATTTCGCATAAAGGTGAGAAGATTCTCATTGAGCAACGTGACTGAAAGCAAATCTTCCATGTCATACACCGCTCCGTGTTGAGCGTTCGTCGCAAAGTAATTGTGAATCCTGAAGAGAATCTGCCTTCCTCTAACTGGGCGTCCGGCGTTGGCCTCTGTTTCTTTGAAGGTGTCCACCTGACGTGCAAAGTCGCCTTCCAGGATGTTTGACAGAGCTGAAAGAATCTTAGCGTCAAGGGTGGTGAATCCTTCCGGATCACGAAGGGTTTCCTCCTTCATATCGGCTTCCCAAACCCTAGACAACCACTCGAAAGCTTTATCAGGCTTATCAGATGCAGCTACAACCGCGTCACGAACTCTGATGCGCCAATTGCGATAGCTCTCAGGCTGAGGAAACTTTGGGACTATAACCTTCTCAGCTTCCTTCGTTTTGGGGGCCTTCCGATGATTCGGCTTTATCGGCATCTTTGTCACTCGAGCCACCTTTCATCATCTTCTTGAAGAATCTCTTCATCTCTTTCGGTGAAATAGCCGAAGATGAGGAAGAATCAGAGGACGAAGATGAGTCCCTTTTTTTCTTCTTCTTCTTCTTCTTTTTGTCGTCCTTCTTTTTCTTCTTGTCTCCATCATCATCGTCATCGTCATCATCTGGGTCACCTGGCTTGCCTTTGCCTCGGCCAGGCGGTGTGTCGAGGCGATGCACCTGTGGGAGGCCGGGCGGTGGCCCGCTAGGACCAGGGTTGCCTTCCGGCTCCCGATGATGGGGCGAATCGGTCTGACTGGCAGCCTTCTGTAGCATCTCTTGAGCTTGAAGCAACTTAGCACGAAGATCAGAGTTCTCGCTCGTGAGTGCTGAGCGGTGCTCGGCTTCAGAATTGAAGCGTCCGAGCATAGCATTGAATTCAACTTTCATGCTCTCAACCTGTTCGGATAGTCTCGCATCGTGAATGGCGTACTCGCTCTGAACATTGTGAGAAAGCCTCTCAAGTTTGGAGTATTCGGCATTAGCGTAGGCTTCCGCCTCGCAAAGACGCTTGTGGAGCTCAATGGCTTCAGTCCTTGCTCTGGCAAGAGCAGCAGAATGCTGATCAATGATACCTTGATCGTTGCTCGACTTAGTGGCGGCTTCACTCTCAAGCTGCTTAAGATTGTTCTGAAGGACAGTATACTCATGACGCAATTGTGCCACCTTGGATGTGGCCTGGGAACTAAGTATGTTGATTTCCTCCCTATGAGCCTCCCCTATGGCTCCTACAATTTCCCTGTGGCGCGCCTCTGCGGCCATGGCAACGGCTGGCCCAGTATCCGCGTTGACGTGGACGTCAACCTGGCTCAGCGCCAATTGCCTTGCGTCAACTTGATTCACCTGGAGCTGCCTACGGTCTATGTTCTGGGCATTGAACGTCGGAGAGAACACTGAAGGAGCTCTCTCTGTCGGTGAGTATGCTGGGGTGCTTAGCCCTGGAACCATGTTCCAAGAGTTCATGGAGCCTAAACCTGGCACATTACCAGTGGCAAGTCGTTGCTCGCTAACTGCTCCAACATGCATGATTCTTGGATCGTTCTGGGCTGCGAGCATTGCCAAGTTCTCTTGACTGAGCGGCATAACCTCACCATCCCTGGGAGGGTTTGTCGATACAGCTGTAGGTTCCCCTACAACGGGGTTGCTAAGCAGTGACATTGTTTCATCCTCCACAGGTACGGGGATTGCTGCAGCATTTCCGGGAGATTGCCCTTCCATGACACCGGCAGGTAGTGTTAGAGTCTACGGCTGATAACCTATTGTTACCAGCGGAAAGCCCTAAACTCAACGAGTACAGTGCAACGCACTTTTGTCTTGAGCCAATGAAGTAGCGTAATCATGGTAATACAGCTGATATCTTGAAGTATCGACATTAGGGTTTAGGGTTTAGGGTTTAGGGTTTAGCGCTTATGTAGGGTTGGGGGTTTGTGGGGGTTCAGGGCTTCGGGGGTGGAGGGTTTAGCGTTTCGAGATTGGGGACGTTGGGGGCTTAGGACCTTGCCTTTAGGGGTTTAGGGTTTAGGGTTTAAGGTATAAGGTTTAGGGCTTGGGCTTAGTTGGTTAGGGGCCCTAAGCCCTGAGCCTTGGGGGTTGGGATTCAGGGTTGAGGGCCACAGGTCGGAGTCCTTGGGGACCCCGACCTTAATTTTCTTTTCGCGGCTCTTGGTGCGGGGCCCATACAGGATTCTTAGGTAACCTACAAGAACAGCGGTCTTTGGTTCTCACAGTAAACCCTAAACCCTAAATCCTAAACCCTAAGCCCTAAACCCTAAACCCTCAACCCTAAACCCTAAAGGGAAGGTCTGGGGATTTCCGGGCCTCGGGGTGCGTGGCGCGGCCCTTGGGTGTGTATGCAGGGCTTGCATACGGCTCGCTATGTTACTATGTTATGTACAGGGCTTACAGAGCTTTACGGGGTTTGAATGGCTTACAGGGTTGAAACGGGATCTAGGGGCCGGGGGCCTAGGGTTCATCGGTCCTGCACTCTATACCACCGGTGGTTTAGGGTTTGGGCTTCACAGAGTTTATGGGTTTAGCTTGGGATGTTCCCCCTATACTAACAGTCCTCAAATAGGGATTATAGTAGGGGGTTCTATAATCCCGATTCAGGACTGTGAGTACAAGGGGGAACATCCCACAGGGGCTGAGGGAGAATTACATCTTCATCGAGTGAGTTTAGGCCGCGGGGAGTAGGGTTTAGGATTTTGGCATTCTGGCTTCACCCTTCATGGAGAGCGCAGCCCTTGCGCAGCAAAGCATTCTGCAAGAGGCCTGAAAAGGCCTTGGGTGCAGAACACCACGCTCAAAAAGAACAAGCAAAAGAGCCCCATTTTTCCGCAGACGGGTGCAGCTTACTAGGTCGTACAAGGGAATTCGGGCCAGCAGGTACCCGTTTCATCACCCATACGAGGGTTTAGGGCTTAGGGCTTAGGACGATTTCTATAGGGAACCTGCTTCCGTAATCCCCTGTTATTTGAGAACTAGTAAGGGCAGACAAAGCCTCTCAGAACAAAAGCTGACTTCACGTCATCTTGCCGGGGGCTTCGTATCGTGGAATCCATAGGGCCCGCAGTAGCGACGCCCCTCCCCCTCCACTCCGACAATGGGCCCGCGCACCCTAAACCCTAAACCCTAAACCCTAAACCCTAAACCCTGAACCCTGAACCCTGAACCCATGGGTTAGGATAGGATGGCCCTTGAAGCCCGCTGACAAATAGTCCTCAATCTCCTCCTCTAAAGCTCCATAAGGGAAAGCTGAAGATGTCCCAAAGGCCTACCGAGGACCTGTGCCTTTTTTTGAGGCTTGCGCTGAAGGGGGTTTAGGGTTTAGGGTTTAGGGTTTAGGGTTTAGGGTTTAGGGTTTAGGGTTTAGGGTTTAGGATTTAGGGTTTAGGGTTTAGGGTTCAGGGTTCAGGGTTCAGGGTTCAGGGTTTTGGGGGGGGGGGGGGGGGGGTAGCAGTGGATCCCATGATCTTCCACGCGCAGAGAAGCCGCCGGTCTTGTGAAAATGCAAGCCCCGGAGTGAGCACCTAGAATATTTTTTCGGGGTCGTTATACTTGTAGTGTACTTATAAAGGGACCATCACGGAGTACTAGATGTACCAATCCTGTTGCGCTGGTTTCAAGCAACCCCCCTCCCCCCCTTCCCCCCCCTCCCCCCCCCCCCCCCCCCCCCCCCTCCCCCCCCCCCTCCCCCTCCCCCCCCCACCCCACCCCCCCACCAATTGTCGCTGAGCGCTTTTGCGAGGTTGGTTCAGCTAGGTCGCCCCCCCCCCTAAGTGTGCTGGTTTCACAAGAACGTACCTATGGCTCGCATGAAGCAGTACGAAGCTGTCTAATCAGGGACCTAAACGCCGAAACTATTTGGGTCCTGGACACCACTTAAAAGTTTAGAGCTTGAGAAACCCTAAACCCTAAACCCTAAACCCCAAACCCCAAACCCTAAACCCTAAACCCTTGAGGCTTGCGGCCACGAACTAACTTTGCGAGGGCGAGGGATGTATATCCAAACAGACACAGAATAGTACTGCAATCGCTGGTATATGTCCCTGTTTCGGGGTATTTCGGCTGCCTCCAGCCCTAAACCCTAAACCCTAAACCCTAAACCCTAAACCCTAAACCCTAAACCCTAAACCCTAAACCCTAAACCCTAAACCCAAAACCCAAAACCCAAAACCCTGACCCTAAAACCCTAAACCCTACCTGTTTCGGGCTTGGGATTCTCAAGGCTTAGGGCCACCCCCTCGTGATGATTACGCTGAAATGCGAAACCGCGAAGCCCTACACCCCACCTGGCCCTACCTGGGCTTAGGGTTTAGGGTTTAGGGTTTAGGGTTTAGGGTTTAGGGTTTAGGGTTTAGGGTTTAGGGTTTAGGATTTAGGGTTTAGGGTTTAGGGTTTAGGGTTTAGGGTTTAGGGTTTAGGGTTTAGGGCCTAGGGCTCAGGGCTCAGGGCTTAGGGCTTAGGGCTTAGGGCTTAGGGTTTAGGGTTTAGGGTTTAGGGTTTAGGGTTTAGGGTTTAGGGTTTAGGGTTTAGGGTTTAGGGTTTAGGGTTTAGGGTTTAGGGTTTAGGGCTGCTCCATGGGCCGAACACGTCCCAAGCGCAGTAGATCCCGGAGATCCCAATACCACTTATGCTTCGGGGCTTTAAGGCTCAGGGATTGCTTTTTGGGGTTTAGGGTTTAGGGTTTCGAGTTTGTGAGGGCTCGGGGTGTAGGGCTTCTAAGTCCACCATGAACCTTCAAGTAGGGGGTCTATTGTAGGGGATAGGATTAGGGGGACCCTTGGGGGATATAGACCCTCTGAACAAGGTCCCTTGTTTAGAGAGCCAGAAGAGGGTTAAGAAGGGGTTCCCTTTTAAGGGTCCCCCTTATCCCACCTAGGATATTGGCTTCTCGGGATCATGCCGCCTGACGGCCCTGAGGGCGTATGGGTTGACGACTCAAGCGTCCCCGACACTCTGGCAGCCAAACGCTCCAGGAACCCTACAAGGGTTTAGGGTTTAGGGTTTAGGGTTTAGGGTTTAGGGTTTAGGGTTTAGGGTTTAGGGTTTAGGGTTTAGGGTTTAGGGTTTAGGGTCTAGGGTCTAGGGTCTAGGGTCTAGGGTCTAGGGCAAAGAAAAGTAGAGGCATCACACGGGTTTTACCCGGACAATCCTCTCAGTCCGAGAGTTCTTCTGTTGCCTGCCAGAGCTCTTGCTTAGTGTTTTTCGGGCCTCCCCAAGTCCTCGCAAACCCTAAACCCTAAACCCTAAACCCTAAACCCTAAACCCTAAACCCTAAACCCTAAACCCTAAACCCTAAACCCTCAGAAAGCCTCCTTCCGCCCAAACGCCTAAAAGGGAGTTTAACAAAATAAGGGACCCCTATGTAGACCCCCAAATCGTAGGTTTCCCTTATAGTCAGGAACCCAAAAAGGTACCAAGGTACCCCTAACTTCGGCAA